GGTTGCTAGGGGACAGTGCGGAGGGGGCTGGGGGGGGTTGGTTGCTAGGGGGCAGTATGGGGGGCGGGGCGGGGTTGCTATGGGGCAGTGCTCGGTGGTCCAGGGAAGAGTTAGGTCATGGGGGCTGCAGGTTGTGGGTCAGGGCTGGGGGGCAGGCTCGGGGGGATGACGTGCAGACTCCAGTCTCTCGCGTCGTCCCCAGAGTACCTGAACTACGAGGACGGGAAGTTCTCCAAGAGCCGCGGCATGGGGGTGTTTGGGGACATGGCCCAGGACACAGGGATCCCCGCCGACATCTGGCGCTTCTACCTGCTCTTCCTGCGCCCCGAGGGGCAGGACAGCGCCTTCTCCTGGACCGACCTCATGCTGAAGAACAACTCCGAGCTGCTCAACAACCTGGGCAACTTTGTCAACAGGTACCGGGTGGGCCCCGCAGGGGGCGCCGGGCTGCAGCGAGGTCTGCGGGGGGTGGGAGCTGGAGCGGGCTGTGGATGTGGGGGGAGATGGGCCGGGCTTGGCGTGGGTGGGATGTGGCTCACTCTCTCTCCCCCCCCCCTCAGGGCCGGGATGTTCGTCTGTAAGTTCTTCGGGGGGCGCGTCCCCCCCATGGAGCTGGGCGCGGATGACAAGCGGCTGCTGGCTCATGTCACCCTGGAGCTGCGCCAGTACAACCAGCTGCTGGAGAAGGTCCGGTGAGTCCCGGGGGCTGAGGGGCATCGGTGGGCTGGCTCTGGCCCTGCCCTGCCCAGCTGCGGTCAGCGTGGTGGTGGGGGGCACAGAGCAGCCAGACCCCAAAGGCCCCTGTTGGTTTGCTCCAGAAGGGCGTGGCCTGCGAGGGTACATGGGGCAGTAGCTGGCAGAGGCGTCCGTGCCCCACGCGGCCAGGGACAGCGAGCTGGTGAGATTCCTGCCCCCAGCCCATCGCAGCGTGTGGCCGCCGGGTCTCGCCCGCATGCTCAGGGTCCATCTGGTCACCATAAGTGGGGTCGGGAAGGAATTTCCCCCGGGACAGATTGGCCGAGATTTTCACCTCCCCCTGCAGCGAGGGGCCCGGGCAGATTTGAACTGGCGTCAATGGTACCTTCTCTGGACCGTGGGCTCTGGAACCCGGGATTGGAGGAGGTTGGGGGGGGCCTGCGAGGTACAGGGCAGACTAGGTGATCACCCTGCTCCATGCTGGCCACAGAGTCTGAGTCCCCCCCCTCACCCCCCGCAGGATCCGGGACGCCCTGCGCTGCATCCTGAGCATTTCTCGCTACGGCAACCAGTACATCCAGGTGAATGAGCCCTGGAAACGGATCAAGGGTCACGACGCTGACAGGTAGGGGGCAGTGCCAGACCCACCCACCAGCTCGCCCCTGGGGGGCAGAGGATCCCCCGGGGGGGGGGGGGGGGGGAAATCGGGGCTGCCTGGCTCAGCGAGGCGGGGAAACTGTTCCACTGGCTTAGCCAAGTCCTAGTGACCAGGTGAATGGGCCAAACTCACCTCCCCCCACTTGATATGGGATCCCCCCCCACAGCTCTGCCCCTCACTCCTGACCCACAGCCCCTGCTAGCCCAGCCTGCCCATGGTAGTGATTCTGGCTGTTAGTTTTGCAGCTGGGAGCCGGGCTGATGCCCACCAAAACACTGATTGCTAGAGTCTGCGCCCCGCTCTGACGTGGGGGGGTCCCATTTTCTAGGACTCGGGCGGGCACAGTGACGGGCGTGGCCGTCAATATCGCCTCCCTGATCTCAGTCATGCTGCAGCCGTACATGCCCAGCATCAGCGCCACCATCCAGCGCCAGCTCTGTGTGCCGCAGGCCTGCAACGTGCTGACGGACACCTTCCTCTGCCTCCTGCCCCCTGGGCACCAGATCGGCACGGTAGGCGCGCAGCCCGGGCCTGGCGCGGGGGGTTGGCGGAGTCTGCAGCCCCCTGCAGGGGCGGGGGGGGCGGCGGAGGGAAGGCAGTGGGCAGGCCGGGCGTTAACGTCTTCCCCCCTCCCCTGCCAGGTGACCCCCCTGTTTCAGAAGCTGGAGGGCGAGCAGATTGAAGCCCTGCGGAAGCGGTTTGGTGGAGGGCAGGTGAGCCCCAATCCTGACCCCTGTCCCCTGCCTGTGGAATCTGTGGCACTCTGGGGCCATTTCCTGGGGGCTGGGGCAGGCTCCCCAGCTCCTGCGTGACCCACTGCTGGAAGGAAAGCCCTGCCCATCCTCATGGGGGCCCCAAGCTGGTGTGTGCCAGGGCTCCCCCTGCTGGCTGACTGGAAGGAAGGAGCCCCGGCCAGCAGGGAGGGAGTGACCCGGGAACCCGTCGCTTGCCTTGCCCAGCCACATGCTTTGCTCTCTTGCTACCTGTCCTCACCTGCTCTCTCCTCTCTCCTTTCCCAGCCTGAAGACTCCACCTTGGAGCTGAAGGTAACGCTCGCCCCACTCTCTGGGGCATGCCTGGGGCTTGGCGGGGGACCGGGGAGGGGCATGAGTGACAACCCCTGTCCCTTCCTTTCCTCCCACCGCCTCCAGTGCAAGGGCCAGATGCCGTGTGGCCCAGCCCTGCGGGAGTTACGCATGCGTGGTGCCCTCTCCGATGCTATGGGGGCTCTGACCCTACACCCCACCTGGCTCCACCAGGGGGAACTCTCCCTCAACCCCCCATGGAGGGGGCTCTGCTAGGCCTGGCGAAGGCCAGGCAGAGCCTGTTGTGTTGGGACTCCCTGACTTCCCTTCCCCTCCGCAGGCACATGCTGCCCGCATGGCCTCGGCCGATATGACACCCCCTGGGCCTGGGGGAGGCGCTGTGCTGGCAGGGGACCCCCAGAAGGTCAAGGAGCTGGCTGAGGAGGTGGCCAAACAGGTGAGTGGCACCTCTGCTTGTGCTCAGGGCAGGCTGCGTTCCTGGCAGGGCCAAGCCCCCCAGGGCTGGGGATCAGCTGTGGCCCTGCGGTTCAGCTTCTCCCCCGCCTGGGGCCAGAGCCTCTCCAGCTCTGCATGGAGCCAGAGACTGAGCTAACAGTTGCCCTCTGTGCCCAGGCCGACCGCGTGCGCCAGCTGAAGGCCAGCAAGGCAGAGAAGGGGCAGATCAACGCCGAGGTTGCCAAGCTGCTGGAGCTGAAGAAGCAGCTGGCGCTGGCCGAGGGGAAGACCCCCGAGCCCCCGGCCCCCAAGGGGAAGAAGAGGAAATAGCTCCACTGGCAGCACTGGTTCTCCCCCTGCTGGGGGATCTGCACCTGCTCCCTCCAGCCCCAGAAGAAATACCTGTGAGCAGCCCAGGCTGCGGGGCCCAGCCCAGCATCCCCTTTCGGGCCCCTCCTGCAGCAACTGCGCCGAGTGGAAGGAGCCCCTGACCCGCCTCCCACCGTTCCCAGCCCACACAAGGACCCGCAGAGACGCTCAGGCAGACAGGATGTAATGGGGGAAGCGCTGACCGCGCGGGGACATACAATAAAGGGTTTGCTAGATGTGCTGTGACGCTCATTACAACAGCCCCTTCTGTAGCTCCAGGACTCACTGGCCCTCGTTAAATAGCAGTTCGTCATGTGCGGGGTTGTGCCAGCTGGCCCGGGAGAACGTGGCTGAGTGCTTGCTAGCCCTAGCATCACGCTGGCACAACCAGGAGTGGGAGCTCCCGCCATCCAGGTCTTTGCCGGCTCCCCCCCGCAGCACCAGCGGACGTAGGGCCCTCCGGGGCTGTGGTCTGAGTCAGTCTGCCCAGGGCAGCCACTGGTCCGTTCAGCCTCAGGTCCAGCCCCTGGCTCTGCACAGCTGTCTTGTGGCAAGCGGGCCACGCACTACCAGGGCCCAGCTGCCCCCCGTGAGTCCGACAGGCACAGGGCACTGCAGCCCCTTGGGCTCAGTTCAGTCCTACACCTTCTGCAGGTTCACCATGCGCTCAATCAGCGCCGCCCTGGTGGCCTCCACCTCTGCGCTCAGCCGCTCGATCTCCTGCTTGAGCCGCTCGTTCTCGGCCATCAGCTCTGTCACCCTCCTCTCGTTCTGCTCCTTCTCCCCGCTCCGCTTCTTGCCCTGCCCCTGGGACTGGCTGCTTCTCTTCCTCTTCACGCCGCGGGCCGGGCCTGCCCCCTCCTCATCCTCTGTGCAGGTCTGAGCCGGGGAGCTCTGGCTGGAGTCCGATTCAGGGAGCCCCACCAGCTCCTCGGGCGTTCCGCTCAGCAGCTCCAGCAGCTCGGCTGTCAAGCTGGCATCCAGCTCGCAGCTCTCGGGGGCATCGCCTGTCGGCTCCGCCAAGGGGGACGGGAAATCCAAGCCCCATAGCAGTGCTGTGGCATCAAGTGTGGCAAGGTCTTTCTAGAGAGAGAGAGAGAGTGTGTGTGTCAGTGGGGCCAAGGGGCAAGCCAGGCTAGTGGGCCCCCCCCGCCTGCCCCTTACTAACCTGTTCCACTCCCCCGGGGGGCAGGGATGTCCCCCCATTCTCATCCGAGGACAGCACCTCCTGCAGGTCCTCGTACCAGGCCTCCAGCTCCCAGCTGGGCAGGGAGGCGGGCACCGGCTCGGCTGCCATCGTCAGGTCTGTCAGGCAGTCTCCCTGGCGAAAGAGGGAGAAAACCATTAGCAGCAGGCCCAGGGGGCACCGTCCAAAGCTCCTCTCAGCAACCCTACAATAGAACAAACCAGCTGCTGCGGGAAGAGCTGAAAGGGGCCCGGGAGAGGCTCTAAAGGCCAACACCCCCTCCCTCAGTCATGCTAGGTGGGGCCATCGGCTTCAGCCCAGAAGCCAGGCAAGGACACGAGGCCCTGGGGAGAGGCAGCATGTCTCAGCCTGATGCCCGGGCAGGAGGAGCTGCGGGCAGGTGGAGGGCAGGCCGGCTCTCTCCAGCTCAGCGAGCAGGAAAGCTCCCTTTCACCGCTGCAGAGGGAGCCCTGGGGCAGGGACCCGGCCCCACGGGACACCCATCTCAGCTGCGTCCCCCCCAACACGCAACGACCAGCCCCGGGCCTTACCTGCTCTCACGTGTGGTGATGTATGAAGACACACTTTCGTCTAGAAGACTGGGGGGAAAAGCAAACAATCAGACAAGGCGGCGGTTTGGCAAATCTCCCCATGGGCCCAGAACCAGGCAGCACTAGCAGGGATGGAAAGGAAGAAATCTACAGGGAACGGCTGCCTGCCCTCACCTCCAGCCCGGTGTGACCCCAGGACCCCTCCCCGCCAGGAACTGCTGCCTGCTGTCCAGCCTGGTGTGACCCAGGACCCCTCCCTGCCGGAAACTGCTGCCTGCTCCAGCCCGGTGTGACCCCACGACCCCTCCCCACTGGGAACCGCTGCCTGCTCCAGCCACTGGCTATTTTTAGCCTATGATGTTCGGGAAATTCCAAGCAATGAGCCAACCCGCCCGCACGCCTCGCTGTGGCCCTCTCCCAGCCGGCTGCTTCCACCCCGCTGCTGGGGGAAGAGGCAGGATCTCCTCCCAAGTGCTAGACGCGCAGACATCAGAGGCAGTGCTGCTGAAAGCCACCCTGAGCCTGGGCTTTGCGGCTGGGATCAAAGGCCAAGAGGAACTGGATTCTCTTGCTCATAGAACAAAGCTCTGCAGCCTCAGGTCAAGGTGGCCTGGGAGCCTGGGGAGAGGAGCTGCCTCCTCTAACCCTGCGCTCGTCCCTGTGGTATCTCAGCATCTTGCTTGTTGTAGGGCA